TAAATTATTTTTCAATAAATAAATAAAAATATCTAATCAAAATAAATAAAATATGTATTGTCTCATTTTTAATTTAATTTTAGTTATCTTTTTTAATGTTGTGGTCTCCTGTCACAAAATTATAAGATTTCGAACAATTAGCTGAAAAATCTGAGGTTAAATTTATTACCAGTTGCTTTTCGGCTTTTTAGTTTGTATTCTGTGGTTAATTTAACTTCAGCTTCATAATATTTATTTATTTATTTATTCATACTCGAAAACATATTGATGAAACTTTGTATTGAAAAAATCCAAAATGAAGCCTAATTAATCGAGATGCAGCGGCTTAATCATAAAATGGAGCTTAAATATTAGATAAATTTAAATATTAAAGATTAGAAAAATTTCAATACGTCTTGGATAACATATAAGTAGATCCTTATACCGAAAAAGTAAAAAAAAAAAAAAACTTTTATAATCCAAAACACAGTGGCATAAACTTGAAATTGGGTCATTTACAAAATGGGGGAAATCTACTGCTCCAGAAACATAAAATCAGTTCTGCGCATGCGTTAGCCCTACACATACACTCTATATTCCGTTTCTTATAAAGTGACTTTATTATCAGTGAAATAATTCATGTTATATGTGAAAAAGTATTGTGAACTGTTAAGTTAACAATTAAGTTTAAATTGGACATAAATAAGGTGAGTAATCACTTATTTATAACGGCATTGTGAACAGTGTAAATAGACCTGAGGATAGTGATAGATAACAAGCCGGCCATATACATTCGCTAATCCGACCAGTGGGCTGCTGCCCTTCGGCGGAAGCACATCTACGTTACTCAGAATTCTACAAACTCGCGTAATATATACGTAATTGATAAAGGACATTTTTTAGCAAATTATTACATTTACCTCTAATTAATTATGAGATGCGATATTTTCACATGGTAATGTTGAGCAAAGGTAGCAATCGAACTTTAAGATCTAGGAGTCTCAATACCACAAAGAGTTCACCTATCAAGAAAAGGGCTAGACGCTCTAAAAAAAATACCCCGCCAGCTACACCAGAGAGCTCAGTTGTTGAAGTCGAAAATCAACCTGGCACATCATCACAAAATATGTCAACACAAGCTATATCAATACAAGGTACATTAGAAGAATTGCCCTTTTTTACAGCTAATCCATTCCAAGTGTTGTCAAACACACAGAATGAACAAATGGAAGCAGTAACCATCCCTAGTGAACCTAAACCCCCACCAATATTTGTTAGAAACATAAAAAAATTTCAATTAATGTGTCTACAATTAAATAATAATAATAAATAATACTCAGGTAAATACTTATGCCAAAGCCGCACTAATGACACGAAATTAATGCCTGACACCCCAGATACGTACAGAAAAATTGTCAAGTATTTATCTGACACTAAGGCGGATTATCACACATATCAGCTGCGCCAAGAGAGAGCGCTCAGGGTGGTGATCAGGAGATTACACCCATCAACACCGCTGGATGCCATTAAAAAAGAACTAACTGAGATGGGGTTCCGTGTTCGCCAAATAGTGAATATATTCAAGGAAGATAGAGAACAGCCTGGCTCAAAAAATAAAATACCGCTCCCACTATTCTTCGTTGACCTTGACCGAACGCCCCAGGTCGAAGACATCTACAAGGTCACACGCCTTTACTACACTAGCGTTGTTGTAGAAAAGCCCTACACTAAGCGCGACATTGTACAATGCCATAACTGCCAGGCTTATGGTCATACGAAACGCTATTGCCACCACATTCCTAGATGTGTCCGGTGCGGTGATCAACATAAAACAGAGGACTGCCAGAAGTCCAGAAGAACACCAGCAGTATGCGCTTTATGCCATCAAGGGCACCCAGGAACTACAAGGGTTGCCAAACATATAAGGAACTAAAAGCAAGAATTTATTCAGCTCCAAGAGAAGAACGGCCATCCAGGCCACCAAGACAACCCTCTAGAACTGTAAATACAAGAGTGTCCTATGCTCAGATATTCAAAGGAGACACTGCACCCACACAAACTCAGGCCCTGCCACAAGAACCTCAACCTCGAGTATTCACATCTCAACCTCAAGACCCTTATCCCATCTCTGAACCTAGGCCTAATAACCAGACATTCATTCCTCCTCCTCCCAATGCCACTGACCTCACAAGCCTATTGACTTCTTTTCTCTCTAAATTCAGATCACTCATCACTCCTCTCATTTCCTTACTTACCAATGTTGTATCCAACCTCATCCCACTGCCGAGAAATCCTTAAATGTCCCCAATCAAATCCTCTCTCCGTTCTCCTTTGGAATGCGAATGGTATTCGAAATCACATCAACGAGCTAACAATCTTATTACAGGACAAAAACATTGATATAGCATTAATAACTGAAACTCGACTTACCAACAAACGACCACTTAACATCCCTATTTCTTAACATGCTCTAGGACCATCTGGCAAAGAACCAGGCATCCTGATGATTGGAAATCATATAACTATTATTCCAAGCAGGTAAAACAAAAACTGGCTACGTTTAGATCCCAATCCTATAATTCCTATCTTTCCTCACTATCTGCAAGTGATAACTCCCTCTGAAATGCAACAAAAAAAATCCTTAAATTCCAATCCATTTCCCACCCCCTCCACTGTGATGATGGTTCCTGGGCTTCGTCAGATGAGAATAGAGCAGAAGAGTTTGCTAAACATCTATCGTACACATTCACTCCTCATCCTGAACTCCATCCCTCCCATACTGCTGAAGTTAAAGAATTCCTCTCTTCATCGATTCCTCTCTCCTTACCTCCTACAGCCGTCAACCCCTCTGAGGTCAAATTCCTTTTAAAGAACCTAAAACCTCGCAAATCTCCAGGACACGATCTCCTTACTTCCCAGATCCTCAGACAACTTCCCAAAAAAGCAATTATATTCCTTACATACCTATTCAACTGTATCCTCCGCACAACCCACTTTCCTCTGGTGTGGAAACACTCCATAATTATCCTCTTTCCTAAACCAAGTAAACCTGTTAATTATACATCATCCTATAGACCGATAAGCTTACTTCCGATCCTTTCCAAAATCTTTGAGAAAATCCTTCTCAAACGCATCCTACCCATACTCGAATCCCACAATATCCCTTCCCATCAGTTTGGATTCCGCTCAAGACACTCCACTGTCCAACAAGGCCTTCGCGTTGTGGACCACATATCCTCTGCACTTGAAAACAAGCAATATTGCACTGGTGCCTTTCTGGACGTAGCTCAAGCTTTCGACCGGGTATGGCACGATGGCTTGCTTTTCAAGCTCAAAACCCATTTACCTCAACCCTTGTACCTAGTCCTTAAATCTTACCTTTCAAATCGCTCCTTTCAAGTCCGCTGTGGCACTGAACTCTCCAAACATTATCCAATTGAGGCTGGTGTTCCACAAGGCAGTATCTTGGGCCCAGTTCTCTATATCCTTTTCACCGCTAACATCCCTTCAAGTCCTGATACCTTCCTAGCAACATTTGCTGATGATACTGCCATCCTATCCTCCCACTCGGATCCTCTAATAGCGTCCCGGAACCTGCAAAGACACCTCTCCTTCATTGAGCAGTGGTGCAACAACTGGCGCATCAAAATTAATGAATCAAAATGCAAACATGTAACTTCACTCTTCGACGCAGATCCTGTCCGCCAATCCTTTTTAATTCAATTAATCTTCCCTACTCAGACACAGTCCGATACCTTGGCTTCCTTCTGGACAAAAGACTGACTTGGAACCCACATAGGAGACTTAAAAGACAAGAGCTTAACCGACGATTTGGTCAGCTGTATAGACTACTAAACAGAACATCTCATCTCTCAACAGAAAACAAATTATTAATCTACAAGACATAATAGTCCTACAAACATAAAATTAGACCTTTGTACTTGTTAAATTCTAAAAGCTTAAATAAGTTGAAACTCAGTGGCGTAATCATGAAATGGAGGTCATTTTCAAAATCTACGGCTCAAGAAACATAAAAGTAGACCTTAATATTGGATAAATTCGAAAAACTTAAATAAGTCAAAACGCAGTGGCGTAATCATAAAATGGAGGTCATTTTCAAAATCTACAGCTCCGGAAACATAAAAATACACCCTTACATCGAATAAATAAAAAAAACTTAAATAAGTCGAAACGCAGTGGCGTAATCTTAAAATGGAGGTCATTTTCAAAATTTACAGCTCCGGAAACATAAAAATACACCCTCATATGAAAAATATCCGAAAAACTCAAATAAGTTGAAACGCGGTGGCCTAATCTTAAAATGGAGGTCGTTTTCAAAATCTATGGCTCCGGAAACATAAAAGTAGACCTTTATATTGGATAAATTCTAAAAACTTAAATAAATCAAAACACAGTGGCGTAAACATAAAATGGATGTCATTTTCAAAATTTACTGATCGGGAAACATAAAAATACACCCTTATACCAAATAAGTAAAAAAAACTTAAATAATTTGAAACGCTGTCACGTAATCTTAAAAAGGAGGTTATTTTCAAAAACTACTCATACGATAACAGACCCACACATTGAAAAATTAAAGATCATTAAATAAATAAAAAAAAGGTTGAATTTGAAATGGAAAAGGTTCAATTTGAAATGGAAAAGGTTGAATTTGACTTGGAAAAAGTTTAATTTGATTTGGAAAAGGTTGAATTTGACTCGGAAAAGGTTGAAATTGACTTGGAAATGCTATAATTATATATATAGTTTTCTTATGTATATAAATTGTTTTTCTTGTAATTTTAAGGATTATAATCTAGTTTTTCATTTATATCTTATGTAGGTTTTTTATGAGGTTTTTTCTACTTATGTTATGTATAAGGTTACTGCAACCACAAACATGTAATTTATCATTATGACATAACAACAAATAATAATAACAAAAGTTAATTATTCTAGAATGAACTATTCTATTCTTCATATAAAAACATATATAAATTTATAAATTTAAAGAAACTTACCTCATGACGTTGACCTTTAGCTAAAGTGAGACTAATAATGGAATCAGCTAAAATGTAAGCAGGTGGTAAAAGCTGTTCAACAATTAACTTTTTTGAGCTGTGTATGGCTAATACATATTCAGGATAATTTACAGGATCTTCAATACCTGAAAAAAATACAAAACTTCAGTGGCAAAAGAGCGATTTCCAAACCAGAATTCAGAATACAGAGTGAATAGATATTTTACAGAAGAGGTTAGGAAATGGAAGATGGAATCAGGTCCAGGAATGGGTAGTGAGGAAGAGTGCCACCGAGAGTACCTCACATAATGTAGCATGAGAATAAGATGAAAGACAGAATTTTATTTAGTAGTAAAATAAAAATGGCATGAGTGAATGTTTACTGATAAGTAATCAACTTAAAAGTATATTTCAAATCAGTCATTAAACATATTATTGCTCCTTGATATAAAAAATAATTATATTATACAGAAAAATTGTAAAGAGCTAATTCCTTTTGCTAATTTATCTTTTCAATTTTTGTTTAACTTTATAATTTTAATTAAAATGAAAAACTCTAATTTTAATAAGAAGTTGGAAGACAAAGGTAGCCTAGAAAACAGATCTATTTTCATAGATAGTTTAACTACTTTTTCCGCTAGGAATTAGTCTGTCAGGAGCTGCTCTCTACAGAGAAATTATAGGCTTGATACAGAAGCTTGCGATAAGCCGATGTAGTTTTGTAACCACCAATTAAGCACTTTACCTTGTCTTATAAATGAACTAATGTTAGTTGGAAAAGAGGTTTTTTTTTTGTTTTTTTTTTTTTTCCCAGCGGTAATAAGCAGCCTATTTAAATTTTTTTTGTTAGATATTAATAACAAAGTTTAAATTAATTGTTACATAATAATTTTTAGTTGGTATTAACATATATTCTCTTATAGGAAGAAAATATAATTGTTGCTGTTGGTATCTTTGAGAAAAAATTTAAACTACCTGGACCTAATCCTTAATCATGTCACACAAAATTAGAATTAAGTTCATATATAAACTCAAGAATGTATATTGAAATAAAAGTGTTATATATATATATAAATGTCAGTAAATCAATTATAAAGCAAATCACAACTGATAAATCTAAATGTTTAACTTATTTGGTAATCTTTATTATTTACACAAAGAACCTTCATTTCGCTGAATATTAACCATATTATAAATCAATTGTTCTAATGAAAAGGTATCACAAAATTGTTACCCTTACTTTGTCTTTGGTGATTTAGGTATAAATGACAAGCCTTAATCATCTAAACATCCATGAAGGAGGGTAGTACAAATAAAGATAAAAAATCTGATGACTTAGCAGAAATAAGTATTTTCAGACAAAGGGAAAGAGAAAGTTAATATTATAGAAGCTATATTTATTTACATTTCATTGTGGGTATTTTTATTTCTTTAAATTCCCTTATATATGTATACAAATCTTAATTCTATACAATTAAATATTAAATAATACCAATGATAGCATTTATGAAAACCGCATATGTATATGTACATAATATTGTCGGAGTCCGTATTATATTAAACTCATGTTACGTATGGAAGCATGTTGTAATCTTTCAGGCGAGCTCGGGTAATCTTTGATACGAGCGCTCGTATTACTTTGATTCCTCTATTACAACTATGATCCGTTATGATCTCTTATTTCTCCTTTAGTTAATAATAAAATTCTTTCATATGTTATATTTAATAATTTTTTTATATCAATATGAAATGGTTAATTAATTCAAATAAAAAAAAGGTACTTTAGAGGAAACCAATATTGAAAATTAACCATTTAAACCCTGATAGAGAACATTAATGAGAATAAAATCTATATTATATTAAAAACTGCTTAATAATACACTGATATACTGAGTTTAATCAAAATAGTTAGAGCCGTTTTTGAGAAAATCATAAAAATGTGTTAAATCGATTATATAAATTATATAACTTCCACTTCCAGTTTGACGAAAATGTTGCTGTAACATTGAAAGCTTATAAAAACCTTAAACATGCAATTTCACTTTCATACGACTTTTCGTTTTTGAGCTAGACTAGTGGTTGTCAATAAACAGTTGGAACCCTTGTTTCAATAGCAATTCAGACTGAGGGTTCTGAAGTTGAATTTCTCCAACAACAATAGTAAGAGAGGAAGTTTAAACTCTCTGGAAGTTAGTGATGCCGAGCAAGATTAACAAGGGGTTTTGGAACATACACAAAACAGCAAACACCACGCCAATAACTTAAATGACCCAGAAACTGGTGGGTAAGAAATGGAAGAAAGAAAAGTTTTGAGACATGCAGTCAACAGGATTCTGTGGCAATAATAATAAATATCTGCATACATTCACTATTTAAGAGAAATTTCTTGAATTTCTTCTACATGGTTACTAGCAAAAGTCTTCCAACAGTGTTGTTCTCCATAAATCCATATGATGGCAACAGTCAGACATTAGCCAAAGCAAGGTTAAATCAGTTTACAATTAAGAAGATAAAAACATTTTTAAATTGAAACATTTATCATTTTTTTAAATACTTGGATTGTTTTAAGATGTTTTTCTGACCACTGTATGTGTATATATATATATTGTTAGGTTAGGTTTCCTTTGAAAAGTAAACAATAGTTTCTGAACCAAATTTATTTTACACAATAATTATTTCTCAGGTTGGGTTGAGACAACAAACACACATTCCTAAATTATACAATATAAAAGTAAAAATTAATTTTATATAACATTTATGGATTTCCATTGGTTTTGTCGGGATCTACTCTTGGTGTGCTTTCTAACTGTCTCTATTTGTATTTCACTCACCCTGTTCTGCAGTGAATCTTCCTCTGTATTGTTGTATTCAACTTCTACAATCTTCTATTTTTCTTTATTGATACTCACTACTTGTTAGTCACCTGTCACTCTCTATGCCTCTCGATGATCTTTCCTAGCCGGCTGATCACCTTCTCTTCTCTCGATGCTCTTTACTCACCGGCTGGTTACCTTCTGCCCTAACATATAGCTCTTGCTTCTCCTTCCATCTCTCTATCTCTTTGTCCATTTTTGACAGTAATTCATGAAGTCACTGCCTTCGCGCCACAATTTAAAATCACAATATAATATTTACATTACAATATTAACCCAAAATTACATACGATAGATAGAAACAACAATGTTTTCAAGTCAAGAGATGTATTGTGATGTTTATTGCAGCAATGTTTGGCAGCGAGCGTAATTTGTTAGAAAAGATTTATTAGAGCCGGCTATAAACATTTAGCCACACTTCTTTTCCAGGCGTCACGGCGTATAGTTCATCGATAATTGTTTAAGATACATTTTATTTTGATATCTAATTGAAGACCTACTGCGTTGAGCCAACCTTACCGTGCCCCGCCAATGAACATATATGAGAGAAAACATCACCAAGGCGACCTCCAACCTTCTCACCAGCTGGAAGCCACGAAAACAAAGGTTGTACCTTTTAATTTATTGTATGGAGACTGGGTTAACATTTAAAAATCAACCATATCAAACCAGATTTTAAGACTTATTTACTTTTTTTTACATTACTTTTTTAAATGAAGTACAATTAAATTTAAATATTTCTAACTACAGTAATATACACGGTAATTTAAAATAAATTGGATAGGTTAATAATAATGAACAAACAAAACAAAATTTAAATTTATACATATTCGTCCGCATGATGAAAATTTGAAAAAAAAAAAGTGAATTTTTTTTTTTTTTCCTGTAATATACAAATGACGAAAATTTGTCATTTCGCAAACAATCACCAATAGCCAGCCAAATGACAAAAATTTGTCATTTGTATATTACAGAAAAAAACAAAAAAATTTCACTTTTATTTTCAAATCCGCACCTGTTAATTACATGTATTAACAATCAGCAGAAGTGCTGGCTAAATAATGAGAGCAGAAAATTATTGATTCTTGTTCTTTTAATTCTAAATAAATTAAATGCTACCAAACAGAGATAAAGACATGCCAGTATTTTGTGAATGGCAGTGCAAAAAATTACTGGACGAATATGTGTTAAAATTCATTTCTTAATTAGCTACTATAACACAAAAAATATATATTGAAATGAAAACTTTTTTTGTAAGGAAATTAATTAAAGTAGAAGAAAAATTAATTTGTAATAAAACAAGACTAACCAGTATGCCAGTGATTAAAAGCAAAGCACACAACTATATACAAATCACTTTCTAACATTTTATGGCAACCAACAAATCCCCTAACTTGTCTTTTGCTGTGTTCTACTAATCTTCCAACACTGGGTGCAGCAATATTTCTAGTTCGGAAAATAACCACACAAAGATCAAGTTGAGATCTTTGGGATTTCTCTGAATTCCTGGAAAAAAAAATTGAAAAACAAAAAGATTTAATGACAGCAACAGACAATGAATAAAATAATGTTTTAATAAATCAATTAGGTAAGAAATGTTTTTATATAGACATTGTACATATCCTTTACTCCTAACCAACTTCTCTAACTAAACACACTCAGCTGTGACCAACGGTTGACACCTGGTAGTCAGATTTTTAATGAGATAATAAATATATATTAGATGTTTTAAATGATGGTACACATAATAATAGTAATACAACACTTAGTTTGCTTAATTAAAGCAAAAAATATGTTAGTTATGCTAAAAGTTAAGATGGAAAAAATTACAAATATATATAATAACAATAAGATACTCTATACTATTACCCAAGGTATCTCAGAAAATATTATAAATTGAGCTCAATTTATAGTAGGCAACCATAAAGTAAATAAGAAATTATTTGCGCATAATTTTATAATGAATCTGAAATAAGAGGTATTTTAAAAGCATCCAAAATATTAAAAGGAACTGGAATTTCTATTAAAAAAAAATAAAGACAAATGGAAAAGAAAATGTCTATAACAGTTAAAACAATGCTTTGAGAGAAAAATATTTTATATATAAATAATATAAAACCAGAAATTTATTTAGAAAGAAAAAGGTTAACATTTGGAAATAAAAATGGCATACAAAATTACATTAAATCACTAATACCGACATCAAAAGCAATAAAGAAATTGTCGGCAGAAGCAAATTCAGAAGAGAGATCCTGATACTGGTGTTGCTTCAAAATACATCAAACTAAAATATTAGTAAATGAAATAAATCAGTGAGTCAGGTCAACAAGAGAGTAAAATTATTTAAATACAACTATTGAATTAAAAATACTTTCATTTAACACAGGTGGCTTAGCTAATAAACATATGGCTCTTTTTTCAATTTATAAAACAAAATTGTCAGGATTTACAGTCAAGAATTTTTTTTTTTCTGTATTGCATAGGTGTTGGAAGAGGTGAGGAATTATTTTGAGAAGAGTGGGATTTAGGAGAACTGTTAATTAAAGATTTGATAACAATATCCTAAAATCTAATGATTTCCCAAACAACCTTATCAAATAGATTTGATAACAAGATCATAAAATCTAATGATTTCCCAGACAACCTTATCAAATCTTTAATTAACAGTTTCCCTAAATTTCATTCTTCTCAAACTAATTCATCACAACCTCATCCAACATCTTTGCAATACAGATCAATTCCATGCATTCCAACCCTTTATATTAAAATTTAAAAATTCTTTTCTTATGCTTTTCCTTACATAGGCCTTATTTTTAACAATAATCACAAACTTAAAACCTTATATAGCAACCTAAGAGATCCCATAACTCTCCAACTAAAATCCAATTTAGTTTACCGCATCCCTTGCTCTAATCCTAAATGTAATTCCTGTTGCATTGGCGAGACCAGGAATTATCTTAAAAAACGTATAACCCGACATAAATATAGTATTTCAACGCAAAACCCATTTGCATCTAAATTGTCTGAACATACCATATGCCTCGAACAATCCTTTGATTTTGAAAACCCATCCCTCCTCATAATGGTTACTAACCATGAAAAATGCCTCCTCACCACCTTGAAAAAAACAACCATAATGAACCCTAAATCCTAGAATGTTTGACCCTATTAACCATAAAGTAGATAAAGAGACAATTTCATCAACCTACTCCAGCATCTTCCACCTTCTAAAATTATAACGTTTAGTTTAAACTCTTTTTCATGTTCATTTTTATTTCTGAAGATTAACACATACTATCAACCTATGTTTAATTTTTTTTTTAAATCTTTTTGATTACTATTTATCTGTAATGTATTAGTTATTATATATATATATATATATATATATATATATATATATATATATATATGTTAGTTTTTACATTATTTATAAGTTTTAGTCCTTAATTGTGACAGATTGTAATATTTCTGAATAAATGAATAAATAAATAAAAAAATAAAAAATTATAAGTTTTAGTTTATGTACCAGCTGCATCCATTCTTACCTAATTATGTATTTTTATTTTTACTATCTGTTAACAGATTCATTATATTTTGACATATTTTTAATATTTCAGTTAAATAGTCGTTAAATGACCGTTAGCCTACTTTATCCTTTTTTTCCTTATCCTTCACCCCCCCCCCCCAGCCAAAACTAATTCCCACAGACCCTTAGTTCTTGTCTCGACTCCTAAACGGTAAGTAATAATTAAGAAACTTTACATTTATTAAAATCTGTTTCTTATATATCATTTTTTTTTTTCGGTTGGCTCTATAGATCTTGTAGATCGTTAGCCGCCTGAACCAACCTTCTCCACCTCTGTCTATCTTGGGCTACTGCTTTCCATTTTGAGGCATGAAGCTCAGCCGTATCTTTGTTTATCCTATCTATCTATCTGTTTTTTGGCCTCCCACATGGTCTCTTGCCTATTACACTGGCATTCATTGTTGGGTAAAGGCATCCTGATGGATTGCTTTGAGCTATATGGCCCACCCATCTTAACCTCCTTGCCTTTATATCAAGAGATATTGACTGATCAGTTTCTTTTAGCAGTTCAATATTGTTCCTTCTCCCCTATGTGTTAAGGTTGTGATCCCAGATAGGTCCTGTTATTGCACGGAAGGCTTTTCTTTTGAATCAATCAATTCTGCTTTCTAGAGTGCCGGTTAGAGCCCAGGTTTCACAGCTGTACAGCAGAACCGGCTTTATCACGCCACTGAACAACCTTAGTTTGAGATTTCTTGAGATTTTCATGGATCGCAACACTATCAAGGAAAATTGGCAGGATGAAAATAAATGCGAATTCTTCGCAGATATCAGGAAAGAACGGGTAGCATACAAAACGAGAAATAGCTATCGACCGGCTTAAAAGAAAAAAGGCTCCAGGGATGGACAGCCTACCATCATAATTATTCAAGGATGGGGAGAACACCTCAGAGCCAAGCTATTAGAACTAATCCATAAAATATGGGAAGAGGAACGGATACCAGAAATCTGGAACGCAGGGCAGATCTGTCCTATCCTTAAGAAGGGCTCCACGTATGAATGTGGTAATTATAGAGGCATAGCAGTTCTTCCGTTTGCCTATAAGATAATGACCAATATTCTGCTAAATCGGATATATCTGTATTATGAAAACATAATAGGCGACCACCAAACATGATTCAGGAGAGGAAGGAGTATGATAGACCAGATATTAATCCTAAAACAAGTACTCGAAAAATGATGGGAAATAGATCAGAACGTACATGCCTTATTTGTCGACTTCAAATCAGCCTATGACTCCGTGGACAGAAACTGTCTTTATAAGATTATAACGTACAAATTATCCTAAATGCAAAGTACTAATATTAGGAGAAGTATCTGAAGCGTTTGAAGTTTGAGGCAGGGAGATGGACTCTCACCAATGCTATTCAACTTAGCCCTAGAGAAAGTAATAAGAACATCACGTGAAGATGGAGGGGAGCACGTGGGAATGAAACGTAAAATCCTAGCATATGTGGATGATATAGCTGTCCCTGGAAGCAATCAAGAGGATATTGAGAGACTTGCTCGGACTCTGTTAAGAGAAGCAGAGCAAATCGGGCTAAAGTCAATGATGATAGAACAAAATAGATGATAGTTAACCAAAAAATCTACCCTAATAGCATAATCTGTGTGGACTCAAAGTTTTTTGTTTCTGTTCTGAAAGCTCTACCACATGAAACTGTAAAGTTATTGGGTATTCTACTACTTTATTACTTTTCTCACTTCATCAATTCAAGCCAAATTTGGTTTTAAATTATTAATTTTATTAAAATAATAATTTATCAAATAGAAATAACATTAGATAGATTTATTTGATTTTTTTTTACATAAACATAAATTTATCAGGAATTATTAAAAAAAAAAAAAAAAAATTACAATGTGTTTATTTGGGGCTGGAAAAAATTTGAATGTGTCATTTGTAGGATTTTTTAAACAAAATGCAGAATTTAAAGACAAATGGCTATTCAGTCACTCAATAGAAATAAAAACCGACAACATGTGGGGTAACACATAATAAGTTAAAGGTAGACATGACAATCGTGATACTAGTTATTATGAGAAGACACATGTAATTTACGTAAGAAGTATAATGGACAGGTACATGATGGACTTAAAAATGGCTCGACGAGACGAAATGTAGTAATAAGACTTTGTAGTCATTAAGTTGACCAAATTAAAAATTGGTTTAAAATCAATAAATTGGAAACTAAATATTATGAAACGAAGCAGAAGAGAGAAGTATTGAAAAGAAAGTTTTTGATCAAAGAGATATGCTCTACAATATCAAACAGCAAAATTAATGAGTATCTTATTACCACTCACACACATCCACATGTACGCGCCAATGCACACAAACCCACTCGTGACCACACACACACCAGTTCAAAATCTGAACTTTGTAAATTTATTTATTTAGTAAAAAAAAAGGATTACTTGATTAATATTTTAAGGTTTATTTTATTATTATTATTTATGGGAAATATCCTTAATTTATTTCTTTTTTTGGGTGTAGTATGTATTTGATTTAAGATATCATGGTACAGTTTCTATATTCATGCATTGAAACAACAGATTGGAGGGTTATCATGGCTCAAAGAATCTTTTTTTAAAATTGTCAATGGGGCCAACTTTACAGAAGCTTAATTTTTCAATGTATGTAAAACTTAGGAGTGTAACGAATATAATTGACAAATATGTTAATAGAACAAATAAACTTAATGAAATGCCAAGTTATACACTAAACAACAATAATAACTAAGAAAATAAAGATAATATACTTCTTACAATATATTAACCAATACTGACTGGAAGGATATTAAATACAATAGTGATATGATACTAACCGTTGACCTTCTTGGAAAAGGGAAAACTCTGCTTCTGTTGGTTCTAGAACTGTCAACAGAATACAAGAAATATGTTGTTCCGAGGAAAGAGGTGGTAATGTTCCTTGTAATCGTACTTCATTCCAACCATTGCTCTGTACTTTACATATATCAATACAATCAAAGTATCTGCAAAAGTAATCTATAAGTCACAGTTAAAGAAAAATATAAGAGACAAAATTACCTAACATAAGACCTACTTTTATGTTAAGGTCATTGTAAGTAAATAAAGAAATTGTTAATCTAATAATATTGAGAAATATGAAAAAAAGGGAAGTAATAAAATAAGAATAAAGACTATGTGCAGATATGTACAAAAATAGGTAAACAAATAATCTAAACGAACAAAGCTCCAAAAATTCTGGTAATAAAGAACAGAAATAATGCGGCATAAAGGGAGTGTGAAGAAAAGAGAAAAAAAATTTCCGAAAATATTTTACACTTTTATATTATATGAAATATATATATAGTTTTTAGGTGGATGGAAAAATGATAAAACAACTAAAGTATCATTTTAATTACGTATATTTTTACATTTATTTATTAAATTATATATATTTGTTATATATATATACCTATTATTAATATATTATTGATATATACATTTATTTGTTTAGTAGCCAGAGATTCACATGTACCAAAATCAGCATTCGGTCAAAACCAAAATAAGAAAAAATTATAAAATTAACTTATTAACATTTATTTGATCTATAAAATAGATTTATACATTTAAATATAATATAAATAAGATCATGGATGTGACACAAATAACAGGGAAAGGACATTTCTTTGGTTCAGAATAAATCTGCAACTGATAGCTTCCAACAAATAGTCAGAATCCGGAACGACCCCACTGAGTCAGCTACAGGAGACTAATGAATGCACCGACCAACCCACAAGTCAAATGGTGAAGGCGGAACTTGCCCCTACCAGTTTAAGTGGTGACCATTCAGGTGGGAAGGAATATATCCTCGCCACACCAGTGACCCAACTCACTATCGGGAAGGCATATATCCCAACCCAACTCTTAATGGGAAGGCATGTATCCCGTCCACAGTCAAAGGGTTAAACAAAGATAAATCTGTGATCCATCATAATGCCAGTAAATCAAAGAATAACCAATCCATAATAAAGCTGACTTCGGGTAACTAACAGTGAATATATCCTCCACCACTGGAAAGCTCTTTTGAATCAGATAATATCACTTATAAATACCTGACAATACTTACTTTAAAACATCATCAAAAGATATCCAGAAAACACCATCTGAAGCTCCATGTGGCATTAGTAACTCTCTCAATTGAGGAGTCCATACACTAGAATCATCAGACCAGTCTCCCCTCCAGGAATAATGGCCCCAAGGGTTACGAAGTCTCAACAGTCTTATACCATTTAAATCACGTACATCTAAGACTGAATAGGCATGTCTGAAATAATAATATATTCTGCATAAATAATCACCAATATTGATAATTCACATAGAAAATCTTGACAAACTAGTGACTAGCTATGAGACAGTTGATGAGGCGAGACATTCCAGGTGTGTCCCTGTCCTAAATGTGACAACTAATACTGTAATATATAACATGAAAGCAAAGATATAACATAAAAAATGTAATTCCCAAATAACAACTAATTTATTATTAAAAGTAGAAAAAATAATTATGATCCATCACATAAACTTTTTTCAATAATTATATATTTGTAATATAATTATAAGTCAGGTCCTCATGCACCAAGTAGTAACAACTAACCAAAATAAAATACAATTACAAAAAATAGATCTAAATCTGACAATGATTAATATGTTTCAAATTGTGTTGATTTAGTTGAAGAATCTTCTTCACTAATTTATTATTTACACGGGAATTCTCTTCTAGCCTTCGAAGTGTGCACTTCACGGTTTGCAGTTTTAATCTCTGAGCACAATAGGTTGTTGTTCGATTTATGGGAAAATAAGTTTATTTACTTTCGTACGACCGGAAAGTGGCGACCAGATTATTAACTTTTATTTTGTATTAATTATGTTTGTATATAGTTACAGACTTTGAGATAAAACTGGACATTGCAAAACCAAATTTACCGCTAGCTACCAGTTAAGGAAATAGTTGGAAGTGAAATGACAAATACGTGCGAATCTGAACCTCCTGACATCTTTAAAAACTTTAATTTAAACAACAAACGATGGACAAAAAAATATCTAGAAATGTCTTTTCTAGAGGATGATAAAACATTCAAGGAGTGTAGTCCTTTCAAGGTATGTTGATTTTTAAAAAGCTAAGCATCGCAGACCAATATTAAATTCACTAAAAATGTAAAAGTACTTCTAGAAGTAAACTCAGAAAAAGACTTCATTAGCCTAGGAAATATCAAGAATTACACAAATGGAGTGATATACTCTTCAGAACTAAACTGGAACTAATGGATGAACTACAGGGAAAAGGAGTCATCGAAGTTAAAAGAATATTCCGGAAGGCAGGTGAGCAGAAAGTTCCTACGCCATCATTGATCCTGACTTTTGAAAGGCCAAAACTCCCAGGTAATATTAAGCTAGAATTTCTAAATATAAAAGTAAGGTCATACATTCCTAGCCCTCTCCAATGTTGTAAATGCTTTGCTTTTAACCACACTTCCACAAAATGTCAAAAAATATTTGTGGTAAACGTAGTAACCCTAAACATGAAAATAATTGCAGCAGTGATCTTAAATGTACCAACTTCTTAGGGTCACATTCAGCGTGGTTTCATTCCTATCCATATTTTTTAAAAGAAAAACAGATCCAAAAGTAAAAGTTACAGAACGGGTTTCATACATAATTGAAAAAAAAAAGCGATAACTCATACAGTCTCGGACTCTAGGGAAACCTATTCCCAAGTATTAAATTCTCCAAATTCTTCCCAAAACACACAAATAGACAAGTTAACACCAACTATAAATTCTCTGTTAAATAAAATCAATGTGCTAGAAACCAAATTATGTGTGATTCCCACCATGCTCAATGTGTCTGTCTCTGAAATATATGTGATAACACAAATCAAATCTTATCACTAAAAATTCTGAAGAAAATAAAACTGACAATACATACCAACCACAACACAATGAAATCCATTTAACCATAAAACAGACAGACAAATCAAAACACACTGGATCTGATAAATCTGACAAAGAACTGTACAATAGTATATCCGGAATGGAAAAAAACTTAGATCCTTTCTTCAACACAAAATCCATTCCAAATCCTCTCAAGCTCAATTCCGAATCTCCAGCTCCTCAACAACAACGGAAGTGGGCAAAAGCTTCAAAACAAAAACAACTCAAATAAAATAAATAATGGAAGGAGATGGTCCGGGGTTGCGGTCATAAATAGGCTAAATAGTGGTAAAACTATTTTATTGAAAGCCTGGCTTTCTATTTTAGTTTTTATTTTAGCCTATAGTTTTTATTGACTATTAGGCTTTCAATAAAATAGTTTTACCACTATTTAGCCTACTTATGACTTCAACCCTGGACCATATCCTTCCTTTATAATGCAACGGGCAACTATTAAATATTCAAAATAAATAATAATAAAACCACAAAAGGAAATTAAAATATAATACTGAAAATCAAAATCAATACTTTATAAAGCAGTAAATTTTTTTTTTCATTCTTATCTTTTAAAATATTAATATTAACATGGCAATATTACAATGCAATATTAGAGGATTCAGATATAATAAAAATGACTTAGTCATTTAGTTTTTATTATTATTATTATTATCACGGCGCTACAACTCGGTGACGAGTCTTGGCCTCCTCCACCAGCTTCCTCCAGTCATCTCTCTTCTGCGCGGCCATCATCCAGCTCCTGACTCCAAGGACATCCCTTGAATCTCTTCCCACACCGTCTGGACCATCTTAGTTTTGGTCTCTCTCTTCTTCTTATGCCATAGAGAAGCTCTGTCAGGATTATCCTAGGGATTGTTTCATTCTCCATTCTTGCCACATGACCAACCCATCTCAATCTTCCAAGCTTCATCCTCAGAACGACATCTTGATCATTAAAAGTTGAGCAAATTTCGCCATTTGTCTGTCTTCTCCAATTTCCACCAATCTCTGCTCCTACAAATATTCTTCGAAGAATTTTTCTCTCAAAGATTAGGAGGTCTTGCTCAATTTTTTTAGTCGTCCTCCATGTTTCTGAAGCATAGAGCAGGACTGGGCGGATTTGTTATGCCGGGATAGAAGGCGAGAGGTGAATTCCTTGCGAAGGGCAAAGTAACATTTGTTAGCCATAAATATTCTTTTCTTGACCACAACCTCGGGTGCATTGTCTTGTGTTGCCAAATACTTAAAATACTTAAAGTTTAAGTATTTTAAGTATTTGGCAACACAAGACAATGCACCCGAGGTTGTGGTCAAGAAAAGAATATTTATGGCTAACAAATGTTACTTTGCCCTTCGCAAGGAATTCACTTCTCGCCTTCTATCTCGGCATAACAAATCCGCCCAGTCCTGCTCTATGCTTCAGAAACATGGAGGACGACTAAAAAAATTGAGCAAGACCTCCTAATCTTTGAAAGAAAAATTCTTCGAAGAATACTTGTAGGAGCAGAGATTGGTGGAAATTGGAGAAGACGGACAAATGGCGAAATTTGCTCAACTTTTAATGATCAAGATGTCGTTCTGAGGATGAAGCTTGGAAGATTGAGATGGGTTGGTCATGTGGCAAGAATGGAGAATGAAACAATCCCTAGGATAATCCTGACAGAGCTTCTCTATGGCATAAGAAGAAGAGAGAGACCAAAACTAAGATGGTCCAGACGGTGTGGGAAGAGATTCAAGGGATGTCCTTGGAGTCAGGAGCTGGATGATGGCCGCGCAGAAGAGAGATGACTGGAGGAAGCTGGTGGAGGAGGCCAAGACTCGTCACCGAGTTGTAGCGCCGTGATAATAATAATAATAATAATAAAAACTAAATGACTAAGTCATTTTTATTATATCTGAATCCTCTAATATTGCATTGTAATATTGCCATGTTAATATTAATATTTTAAAAGATAAGAATGAAAAAAAAAATTTACTGCTTTATAAAGTATTGATTTTGATTTTCAGTATTATATTTTAATTTCCTTTTGTGGTTTTATTATTATTTATTTTGAATATTTAATAGTTGCCCGTTGCATTATAAAGGAAGGACATGGTCCAGGGTTGAAGTCATAAGTAGGCTAAATAGTGGTAAAACTATTTTATTGAAAGCCTAATAGTCAATAAAAACTATAGGCTAAAATAAAAACTAAAATAGAAAGCCAGGCTTTCAATAAAAGCCAGGCCATCATCCAGCTCCTGACTCCAAGGCAGTGTGCTTATCCCCAAATTACCAGTATAAATTCTACTTTACGCAGACAACTTAGTAATATACCTGAGTGGGAAAAATCTGCCCTACATTCACAGCTCTATATAGAACACCGTTAAAAGGGTCATTGCGTGGTTCGCAAATAAGGGGCTTATGGTATCCAAAACGAAGTCCCAAGTAATATTATTCATAAGATAAAGAAATCCCAACGTAAACACTATTAAAATAAACGGAGAGTCAATGGAATATTCTCAAAGCATTAAGTACCTGGGAATAATATTTGATAAAAAATCTGACGCGGACCACTTATATAAAAAAAATCAAAAGTGAATGCCTGCAGTCACTTAATTTGTTAAGAATGGTCAGTTGCCATTCATGGGGAACTGACAAAAAATGCATACTTATGCTATACCGGAGCCTCGTCTTAAGCAAACTTGATTATGGTAATATAGTTTATGATTCAGCCAGTGAAAATACAAAAAAAATGTTAGACCCAATAATCACAAAACATACCGCCCATCGTTCTCAAAAAGATGTAAATCTTATCTCACTGACTTGAACCTAACACTCCCATCCATCCTGAAATTCGAAAACCCAAAAATAGAACCCTGGTCACTCCCTATCTCTAAACTTAACAAAATCAAATCAAAAGGTAATTCACCGATTATACCGTTAACATATTTTGATCGCTTTAAAAACGCCCATCAGGAATGGACATTTATTTATACCAATGGGTCTAAAAGCAAAGAAGGAGTAGGCGCTGCTGTGATGATGGGAAATAATCATCTAATGTTATCACTTCCTCTGATTTGAACAATCTACACCGCTGAGCTATCCGCTCTAAACCATGCCGTAAAATCCATTGACAATAAACTAGCTATCCGCGTTGTGATTTGTTCAGATTCAAAATCTGCCCTCAGTAGTTTTCTCAAAACTGTTAGTAGTCGATACCTTAACTAATCTTAAAACATTGGAGATGGCTGGATGTATGGTTAAATTTTTATGGTTACCAGTCATGTTGGGATCAAAGGCAATGAGATGGCAGATAGTAAGGCCAAGAGAGCTATCAAAGAGGGTCAACCACTCAACCTTCTGAAGTTGCCACTTTAATCAAACAAAAATCATGGTTGACTTGGCAAAGAACTTGGTCTGCGACAAGAGACAATAAGCTAAGGGTTGTGGAGCCGTACGTCTTGAAAGTCACTCCAAATATCCTGCTGACCAGAAGGGAAGAAGTGGTACTGACCCGGCTAAGGATCGGACATACTAGATGTACCTACGAGTATTTAATGAGGAAAGACTCTCTCCTACTCAATGTACCTCTCACAGTGAGCCATATCTTGAACGAAGGTTATGCATTCCAATCTCTTAGGGATCAACATCTTTTCAGTAATAGCCTTGAAGAAACACTCCAAAAGGACCCCAATGCTATTAAAAACTTAATATTGTTCCTTAAAGAAATCAAAATATTTCACAAAATTGTAATCACATCTTGTAATTGTTAATATACCTTTTAATTTTTCTTTTTTTAATCTTAATTTTTAATTTTAATAGTTTTTCAATCTTTCTTCTTGTAATCTTTAGTACTTAAACTGTAATTTTTAACTGTTCTTCTTTTAATATTAATTTTTAGTTTTTAAACCGTATTTTTAGATTATCTTCTTGAAATCATTTAAATGTCTTTGTTAACTTATCTTCTTTTAATCTTTAACTTTCAATTTTTATAACTTTAATTCAAATGTACCATCATATTCAACTCTAACCATTTTTAAATTTCTAAACTTTAAATTGTATTTGTTAGCTGTAGTTTTGTTATGTATACAAATTTGTTAAAGTTGTTGATCCAATTGTAATATAGGGCGAAAATGACACAGGTGGTTGAAGATCCCAAAACATTTATAAATAAATAAATAAATTATTTACACATTTTTTAATATAATACATGACTATAAGAACTAATTTCAGAAACTTCGCTAAAAATACTCTAAATACTTAAACTTCTATATGTGTCCAAACATAATTCTCTACTATATTTATATTATTGGAATTGTAGCCATTTTTTGATCTATACATCTAGTTTTAGCCCTACAACATGATCTTGATGGATTGCTTTGAGCTACATGCTCTGTCCATCTTAAGCTCCTTTTATCTTCATGTCACGAGATATTGAATGTCCAGTTTCCTCAAGTAATCCTTTATTGGTTCTTCATATCTTAAGATTCTGATCCCAGATTGCTCCGTTTCTACAAAAGAACTGGTTTTATCACTCCACTGTGCTTCCTTAGTTTAAGATTTCTACAATATTTTCTCGATTTCAGTATCTTTGACAAATTAGACCCACGTTTCAAACCTGTTATCCTTTCCTTCTTCAATATTTTATGGATTAGTTCTAATAGCTTGGCTATTACGTGTTCCCTTCTACATTTGAACAGCTTTGATGGTAGGCTATTAATCCTTATTTTATGCCTTTCAATAGCTATTTCCACACCCTGAATATCCAGTCTTTTCAACTTCTCGTGGGTTGAGGTCCTTAAGGTGTGTGGTCCAGGTCTTTTTTGTTCATGGGCTGTCCTTGATTGAGAAACTGCTGGAAATGTTCTTTCCAGATGCTTAGTATTTTTTCTTTTGATGCTCTAACTTTGCCATCTTTTCCTCACTTTTGTGTATTTCTCACTTAATATCCCACCTTATCTTTCTTAATATCTGTATAGGATTCATGAATATCTCCAGCTTGCCACTTGCCCTCAATGATTGGCAGTCTTCCTTTAAAGAATTCTCTATTTATAGTCCTTATCACTCTGTCTTTTTCCTTATAGCTCTGTATTTGCCCTGAGTACCTTGATCAGGTTTGGCTGAGGAGGGGACTACCACTTTTCTTCTTTCCTCCACTGTAATTTGCATGCTTCTGTGAACTACTTCTTCACTTATCATTTCTCTACAATACTTTTCATTTCCTTAGATGTTTCTTTTATTCCTGCCACTAATGCCTCCAAGTGTTGGTCAACGTTAAGGTCCTATGAATGAGTCCAAGAGTTAAAATTTATTGTTCAATTCGATTTGGAATTTGACTTTTACTTCAGGATTTTTCAAATTACGGATTTCATAAATCATTCTTTCCGCTTGGTGCCCTATTTTATGGCTTTTCTTCAACCTCTGGTAGAGTTTGATTCTAATTAGAGAGTGGTCCGAAATCATAGTATGCAGCATAATAACTTCTTATGTCTTGAATGGAACTGTGATGTTTTATCAAATGGTCAATTTGTTTTTTCTTACCAATGCTCAGTATGAAAGCACCCTACAGCTGACCACAAAACCATGGGCTGTAATCAGATTAGTACGTCTTATGCCCTTGTTTGGTGGAAGCTTAAGCATCCAATGATAAGCTTAAATTAGGGTTCTCAACCTACGTTGGTACTGAAGTTGCTTATGACTAATTTTATGTCATATTTCAGAGACTGGTACAGAAGTTGTACTAACTTATCACATGTTGTCAGTGATTGAACTATTTCATATTTCAACTGTCACAAGGGATTGTTCTGTGTAGTCAGCATATGGAGAAACTGTGATGCTATATCACAACAATTGTAACATAAATTAATGTTAGATAAAAAGTATGAAATTTGAAAATGTTCAAAGAGGTGACAAATAAGCTCATTTTACTAAGGACAAAGATCCAGTAAGAAGCTGTAAGATTAGTGAGATTCTACTCTATTATAAAATACTAGAACCACTTTAGAGTATAATAATTAAAATCTGCATTATTTATAAACTGTTAATACCGAAATCTATTTAAAATCATTCAAATTTAATGTAATAATATTTTTAAATTATGTAATTAGGCACAAATCATAATATTTATTATTTTGAAATAAAAAATGTCATTATATAAAAATTAATAATTGGAAGATAATAAAAAAAAATCTATTAATGATGTAGAGATGGTTCACCGCGATATAATATGAGGAGTTGGTCGGGAGGGGGGGGGGGTGCAATCATATAATACTAAACCTTAAAAATAGAATTTTTTTATTAGTACGTTTCGACCCACCTAGTAGAATCACCTTGGTGGGTCAAAATGTCGGCATAACCATTAAAAATACTATTTTTAAGGTTTAGTATTTATTTGACCGCAACCCCCCCCCCCCACCAACTCCTCAAAAAAATCTATTGCTCAATGTATATTATTAATATATAAATGAATAATTACCTAGGCCTTAATCCTTTTTCTTGATATTCTTCTTCATCCACTTTCATATTTCCACCTCCACAGGAGGCTCCCATCAAGTACATAGCTAATCTAGAGCTTAATAACTGAGCCCAAATCAAATCTTTGTCGAGCTCGTCTTCAGATGGTATAGAACTAGGTTGAAGGGGTACACTCTCACAAGGAGCACCTAAATAAATAATATAAACCGATAACAATTTATAATTAAGTGATAAAATTAATTATCTCTCATACAATTTATATATAATTAATAAAATTAAAACAAGTGCAAACAAAAAATGGATAAATGAATTTCACTTTACAGTTTTCTTATTATATGTGAATACAATATAGCCAAAATCAATGAACATACAATTGTGACAAGTAATTAGAATAGTATAGAAATATGTTGTCCAAAAATTAAAAACGAAATATATATTTTAAAAACTGAGTTTATCAAATAGATAAAATTATAGAGGTAGATTAAAGACTTTTCCCATTGTTAAAATTCATTATCATCAAAAAGATGGTTAAACCATAACTGATAATCTCAAATCATAGAAAATTGATAAATCTTACTTACTTCTGTTTCAGCATTCCCATTTTATTGAGAAAGCAAATAATATTTTTAACTTTCTGAGAAAAGTAACATTTCATGTTGTTTATTTAATAGTCTAAAGGACAGATTATTCTGCAGGTTACCAATCTATTCTTGCCGGAGTGAGAAAGTCAAATTCAATCCTGGCAAACTGGAAGGTAATCAACATCCATTTCTTGGTCAATACCCAAGATCTACCATTCTAACACTTGAATAACAAGGCCTCAGCATTGATTTAAATTTATAAACTATCAATCAATCATTAAATTGAAATATAATTGTTTTTCAAGACATATCTCACAATTATATCTCTCATTATACTTGCACAAATAGAACACTCAACCAAGGGCGGCTATAGGTAACAGGTCTAGTTCTACATCACCTGCACCAACACTGATGTCACATTAATGCAGCTTATTGAACCCAACACATAAAGCCAGTTTTGTACCAGGAACTTCTTTTTTTTTTCTAGCCATGCTACAATTTTTCAAAACTAACAATATTTTATGAAAATTATAACTCTTTAAGATAGTGGATTAATAAGTGGCTGTCATAGATATATATTGAAGAGAAGTTAGTTTTGATGTTAAGTCAAAAGGCACCATAATTCCACGTAGATGAATTCCATGATTTCTTCTTCCACAACTTCTACCGCCTAATCGCTGTCTCAGAAACTTGGTTAAAACCCACAGTCACATCCTCTCAAGTTTCACTCTCTAACTATACCCTACTCCCTCACAATAGAGAAAATAGAATCGGAGGCGGAGTAGCCATTTTTGTCCATGATAGCCTGAAATCCAAAATCCTTGCTTTGTCTCCTCTCTCGATCTCCCCACATATCGAATATATTTTTGCTGAAATATCCACCTCCTCATATTCATTGTTCATTGGTGTCATATACCGACCTCCAGGAATCCCCTTTGATGAAACACTCAAGACCATCCTCTACGAACTGAGCCCTACTCCAATATTGCTCTTTTCGGAGATTTCAATACCAACCTATTATTTCCTTCCTCTGCCCAAGCCTATTTATCAAACCTCCTCTACTCTCTTAATCTGTATATAGTTCCATACAACCCTACCCATCACACCCAATACTCAGACTCTTGGCTTTATCTTTGCATTATTGACTCTCCTGATAAACTCCTTGCTTCATCACAGCACCCGGTTCCGTTTCTTTCTGCTCACGATCTCATACAGATCTCCTAAAACCTTCCTGTTCCTCTATTTAGTCCCCGATCTATATCTTTCAGAAACCTTTATCTCCTATCGTCCGAAACTTTGATGCCCGATCTTGACTCAATCCAATGGGACTCCATATACTCTTCTAACTCTGTTGATTTTATGGTAGAAACCTTAACCAATCAACTGCACATTATCCTAGACCGTCATGCTCCTTTTAATCTTAAAGTCAGGACAATCAAGTACCCCCAAGCCCCTTGGTTGACGCCAATGATAAAAAATTGTATCAAACAAAGAGACACAGCAAGACGAAGGTTTAAGCGCACTCGACTCCCCGAAGACTACATGAATTTCAAGCTGCTTCAAAACAGTACTCAATCCATGATATGCCATGCCAAATCTCACTACTACCAACAATCCTTATCCAGCACACCAAACTCCAAAGCTATGTGGGCAATCCTCCATAAATTATCCTTAGGCAAATCCACCCGAACCCAGACTACCTCTATTTCAGCTGACATACTCAGCACACATTTTGTCTCCTGTTCATCCGATCCCTCTGCCCAAGCACCAGCTCCACCCCTCATACATCCCCCATTAATCCCAATCATTTTTTCTTTTCGCATATTAGCCCTGACGACCTCCTTAAATCCATTTTTAAATCCCAAACCAAAGATTTCGGACCAGATAATTTCCCAGTTAAATTAATTACATATCACTTCCATCCATTTTCCCAGTCCTTTATCATATCTATAGTTTCTCACTACAAAGTTCCACTTTTCCCAGCACCTGGAAAACCGCTTTTGTACGTCTTCTGAACAAAATGTTTAACCCCACAACCCCTAATGATTTCTGTCCAATTTCCCTGTTATCTAACCTTTCCAAACCTTTAGAACGAATAGTACAATCTCAACTATCCCAATATCTCGACCAAAATAAACATTTGAACTGCTTCCAGTCTGGTTTTAGATCAGACTACTCCACTCATTCCGCCCTCATTAAAATCTCCCAAGATCTCCACACAGCCATAGATCAACAGAAACTCAACTGATCCTTCTTGATTTCTCTAAAGCATTCAACTCAGTTGACCATAATATCCTTCTAACCAAACTTAAAAATATTTCCTTATCATCTAGTGCCCTTGAGTGGTTCCAATCCTTTCTCAACGATCGCTCCCACTACGTTGTAGTTCCTAATAACCCTCAATCAATGTCTCTATCTCTGTCCAGAGGCATCCCACAAGGTTCCTCATTATCTCCTCTCCCACCCTCTTTTCCATCTACATCAATGACCCCCCTTCCTCTATCATACACTGTCAATATCACCTATACGCCGATGACATCCAAATTTATCTTCCCTTCAACCCGACAGATTCCTCTAATGCCATCCTGAGACTGCAACAAGACATCAATAGAATATGCGCATGGCCAAATCTTAATAAGGTGACATTAAATATGGAGAAGACAAAAGCCATCCTGATCAGATCTCCCTCACTCCTCAAATCCATTTCAGCACCTCCTAATCTTCTTCACCGTTCAAAACCCATCAACTCCTGGTCTCCTCTCTTGTTTTCCCCCACTTCGACTATGGCTGCATGGTGTATGGTGAACTCTCGGGAGAACTCAAAGCTAAACTTAAACGTCTAATGAATTGCTCAATCCGCTGTATCTTCAGGATTTCAAGAGATACGCATATTACCCAGTTCTACACCAAGTTGAGGTGGCTTTATCTGTCCTACCACCGTCAATATTTCCTTGCTACCTTCCTATACCAAGCCATTAGAACACGGCAACCTATCTATATTCTACAGATCCTACAATTCAAACACTCCTTTCAATCCTGTCCCATCAGATCCTGTGCGTCCGACCTCTATCCTCCTCCTCACCGAACTGCTGCGTTTGATAAATCCTTTTTAATACAAGTTGTCTCTCTCTGGAACTCTATACCTTCAGATATCCGATACGCAAAATCAATATCCTCTTTCAAATCTCTCCTCTTCAAACACCTACTCCATTCCCAATCCGATTGATCACGAAATGCACTTAAAAACCTAAGCTGTAAAAACCTCAAAGTATACCCAGATACTCTGATTATTTTGTGATTCATCGATATTTCGTTTACTTTATTACTTTCTCTGTATATTTTATATTTACATGTTTTTATATATTTTTATTATTTATAACTTTATTGTATTCCTAATCAACCTGTAACTATTAAATTGTATTTTATGGACACAACAAAATATTAATATATATTCTGTATTTGTAACTTGTTCTAAAGGGACACTAGTCCCAGAATAATAAAATTATTTTCATTCATAAGAAAGAGCATAAGACAGATCTAGCTTTTGGCACCTTTCATGAGAACAGCCCTGATGAAGGTCGGAAACTTGAGATGAAACATCGGCAAAAATAAATATTATTTATTTATTTTTAGTTTGTTCATTATTTGAATGAACATCCAAACCAACTTCTCTTCAATATAACCCTTTAAATGTTCTTGTAATAAGCAGAGGCACCTTTTTTTTTTAATGATCAATTGGCATATATTATATACTGCTTTCAAGCTAGAGAAAAATTAAATTCCAATATTTCTTTAAATTATAATAATAATAATAATAATAAAGCCTGTTCATACAAGTCTTATAACTTGTAGGCCTCCCCAAATTAAGGGGGTATTATGGTCTGACTTCGGGCGGGAACCAACCATATTGCGAAGTAGGGATGGGATCCGATCCTATGATCTTTGCTTTACTAGAATTGCTCACTAACCACTCTGCTATACCGGCCCCATTTCTTTAAATTATGGCAGACTAAATATCCCACAGATTTTATTCTTGATATAGGAGGTACCATGTTTAAACTTGACAAAATCATTTCATAAAAATGTGCACCATGAAAAAATATTTAATAACAAAATGCCAAAAATGACATTTATGGATCAATTTCTTTAGCTGCTATTTCAGCCAAAGTCACTTATTAAAAATCAAGCAGGAGGAATGTGATTTGGGATATAGCAAATAGATACAATAAACAAAATAATTAAAATTTTCACTGATACATTTTCTAACAATTGCTCTATATTAAAAAATTTGGTGCAGCTCGGGTATCACACAACTTTCACTTACTGTTCTACTTGAAGTAGAAATAGATATTTTTATACATGGGGAAATGAAAGTAAAAATTATTGACAGTAACACAAATCCCACAGTATTTAACATACCGTACTGACCACCCTGATGGCAGAGCACATGCCGGCACTGCTGTCATCGTACACCAATCCCTCTCCCATTACTTACTCCCATTACCTACTCAAGATTTCCTACAGTCAACCGCTATTGTAATCAAAGCCTTCTCCTTTCCAGTCACCCTTGCATCAGCATATTGCCCTCCTAACAGATCCATATCCAA